TTAGCCCCTGGAGAGCACTCTCTTCTCTACCTTGAGAACACAACTTCATGAGTTCCATTAATACCGTATTGAAACCAAATGTACGTATATGTTTTCTAGAAAAAACAAAACGCCTGCATGGAATATCCAACTTATTATGACATGAAGATAGCAGTAGACGGCACTGAGCTAAGCTACTAAGATTAGAAGTGTTACTGGTATGATGTGCAATGCATATCAGACATAATAATTTGGTAACTCACTAGAAGCACTCTAACGAGAACGCTGACTCGCTCACACACTTTCGCCCAAGCGTCAGTCAACAGTTCCACACCGTTGACTGGATTCGCGTTGACTCCCAGATCCATTGGATCGTCCCAACAGTCAAAACAACGCATCAGTTTCCCCTAATCTACGCACGTCGAGCGACTTTGCCTCATGGCAGCGGCGGCGATGGCAGTGGAAGTACAAATAGCGACGTCGCTGGTCGCATTCCTCAGCGCTCTCAGGTTTCTTTTCAGGCCACGCCTCTCGAATCTCGCTCGGCCACCCGCCAGCATCGCCACGTGGGCTCCGACTCGGACCGTCTTCGCTCCTGTATGGCTGGACTGACGCGGAAGTCATGCAACTTGCATGGACTCGCCATGACAAGAATGAGGAGGTGCTCAGCCAGACCCGCCTGCAGGGGCAGAACCGAGATGTCACGGTTTGGTTGGAGCTTAAGCGGCGCCATCATGAGTTCTAGCATAAGTTCGCGGCGGTTAAGGGGAAGCTTTTCCGCATGGAGGCCCATTACCGCAAGGTTCGAGACCTCCTGCTGAAGCCATCGGGCAAGGGACGCCCCCCTAAAATTCCCGTGTACTATGACATCTACGATCGCATTTTCGGCAACCGTACGAACGCTATCCCTCCCGCCCTTGCAGGAAGTCTTCCTGGGGCCAACATCATCCGCACACCGCCTACAACCCCCGGGATTACTGGTATGCATTTTCACTTCACAATGTATTTCGGCTAGAGCAACACATTCTCATTGATTAACCAATTCACTAACAAATCAAAACTTCGCGTTGCTCTAACCCTTCGACATACCCAATTCCCCTCATGAATGATTCTGCCTTTGCAGATCAAGGTCCTACGACCGAGGGGTTGGGGTTAGGCTCCCCGCATCCAGCCATAGTGGCGCCATCTTCGCCCTCTCCCACATCAGAGCCGACGGCGCAGCCTTCTCCTCCCGCAACTACCCCTTCGCGCCACATGTCACCCAATGCAGCGGGTGCCTCTCCTCCACTCTCACGCGGAGTCGGGGCTTGCGCGGGTCTGTCGCTGCGCGGGAACTGGGTCATCCGCTGGCCGAGGGCGGCGGCTGCAGACAACGATGCCAACGGGACGGAGGCTGGAATGCCATCGATAGGAGGCGGGATGCCTGCTCGGACTCGACTCTGTGATGAGATTGCCTCACGTATTGCCGGGACTATGCGTGATTTCATGCGTGATAATATTCAGGAATTCATGGTACTTACCCAAGAGCTGGTGCAATCTGATCAGGATGCCCAAGGCGCCAAGGGGCGTAGAGATACGCCGCCAGACGAGAGCGGCGGCGGGTCAGCCGTCAGCTCTGGGCGGGTAGTGCGGCGCGGTTGCCGCCGGACCCTGCTGCCACCATCGATTGCGTCCGCGAGACTCCTCCATTCGCGGGCGCGCCCCGAGTACCAAGTCGATGTTGTGCACCGTGATGCAAGCGGCGACGTAGCGTGGAGCCCGGTAAATGTCGTACTCGAGTCGACCGTCGAGCAGTCGCCACTTCCTCTTCAGGCGGCCGTTGACTTGCTCGACGACCATGCGCGAGCATGACTGCTGCAGGTTCCAGACACACTGCTCGTCTGGCAAGTGACGGCCCATAGTTGCTCGTTAGGGTGTGTAGATGTAGGTGCGCAGGCCATATGCCGCGTCACCGACTAGTGTGTAGTCGTGTAATCCTCCGTCTTCAATGCGTGTTCTTGCAGGGCTATTCTGAAACACTCTAGCGTCGTTGACGCTTCTCGGGTAGCCGACGAAAAAGTCCATATCAAGCCGTTGCAATCGCAGATTAGCTGCAGAATCATGGAAAAAAAACATTCAAATGTTTTTTTTCCATGATTCTGCAGCTAATCTGCGATTGCAACGGCTTGATATGGACTTTTTCGTCGGCTACCCGAGAAGCGTCAACGACGCTAGAGTGTTTCAGAATAGCCCTGCAAGAACACGCATTGAAGACGGAGGATTACACGACTACACACTAGTCGGTGACGCGGCATATGGCCTGCGCACCTACATCTACACACCCTAACGAGCAACTATGGGCCGTCACTTGCCAGACGAGCAGTGTGTCTGGAACCTGCAGCAGTCATGCTCGCGCATGGTCGTCGAGCAAGTCAACGGCCGCCTGAAGAGGAAGTGGCGACTGCTCGACGGTCGACTCGAGTACGACATTTACCGGGCTCCACGCTACGTCGCCGCTTGCATCACGGTGCACAACATCGACTTGGTACTCGGGGCGCGCCCGCGAATGGAGGAGTCTCGCGGACGCAATCGATGGTGGCAGCAGGGTCCGGCGGCAACCGCGCCGCACTACCCGCCCAGAGCTGACGGCTGACCCGCCGCCGCTCTCGTCTGGCGGCGTATCTCTACGCCCCTTGGCGCCTTGGGCATCCTGATCAGATTGCACCAGCTCTTGGGTAAGTACCATGAATTCCTGAATATTATCACGCATGAAATCACGCATAGTCCCGGCAATACGTGAGGCAATCTCATCACAGAGTCGAGTCCGAGCAGGCATCCCGCCTCCTATCGATGGCATTCCAGCCTCCGTCCCGTTGGCATCGTTGTCTGCAGCCGCCGCCCTCGGCCAGCGGATGACCCAGTTCCCGCGCAGCGACAGACCCGCGCAAGCCCCGACTCCGCGTGAGAGTGGAGGAGAGGCACCCGCTGCATTGGGTGACATGTGGCGCGAAGGGGTAGTTGCGGGAGGAGAAGGCTGCGCCGTCGGCTCTGATGTGGGAGAGGGCGAAGATGGCGCCACTATGGCTGGATGCGGGGAGCCTAACCCCAACCCCTCGGTCGTAGGACCTTGATCTGCAAAGGCAGAATCATTCATGAGGGGAATTGGGTATGTCGAAGGGTTAGAGCAACGCGAAGTTTTGATTTGTTAGTGAATTGGTTAATCAATGAGAATGTGTTGCTCTAGCCGAAATACATTGTGAAGTGAAAATGCATACCAGTAATCCCGGGGGTTGTAGGCGGTGTGCGGATGATGTTGGCCCCAGGAAGACTTCCTGCAAGGGCGGGAGGGATAGCGTTCGTACGGTTGCCGAAAATGCGATCGTAGATGTCATAGTACACGGGAATTTTAGGGGGGCGTCCCTTGCCCGATGGCTTCAGCAGGAGGTCTCGAACCTTGCGGTAATGGGCCTCCATGCGGAAAAGCTTCCCCTTAACCGCCGCGAACTTATGCTAGAACTCATGATGGCGCCGCTTAAGCTCCAACCAAACCGTGACATCTCGGTTCTGCCCCTGCAGGCGGGTCTGGCTGAGCACCTCCTCATTCTTGTCATGGCGAGTCCATGCAAGTTGCATGACTTCCGCGTCAGTCCAGCCATACAGGAGCGAAGACGGTCCGAGTCGGAGCCCACGTGGCGATGCTGGCGGGTGGCCGAGCGAGATTCGAGAGGCGTGGCCTGAAAAGAAACCTGAGAGCGCTGAGGAATGCGACCAGCGACGTCGCTATTTGTACTTCCACTGCCATCGCCGCCGCTGCCATGAGGCAAAGTCGCTCGACGTGCGTAGATTAGGGGAAACTGATGCGTTGTTTTGACTGTTGGGACGATCCAATGGATCTGGGAGTCAACGCGAATCCAGTCAACGGTGTGGAACTGTTGACTGACGCTTGGGCGAAAGTGTGTGAGCGAGTCAGCGTTCTCGTTAGAGTGCTTCTAGTGAGTTACCAAATTATTATGTCTGATATGCATTGCACATCATACCAGTAACACTTCTAATCTTAGTAGCTTAGCTCAGTGCCGTCTACTGCTATCTTCATGTCATAATAAGTTGGATATTCCATGCAGGCGTTTTGTTTTTTCTAGAAAACATATACGTACATTTGGTTTCAATACGGTATTAATGGAACTCATGAAGTTGTGTTCTCAAGGTAGAGAAGAGAGTGCTCTCCAGGGCTAAC